ATCTCGACTCAGGCCTCCCACTTCAACACTCTGGGACCCCGTATGTCCCTGGAAAGGAACAGTCTCTGGGGACAGACACCAAACAGACTGGAAGTCCAGGGTTCACTCCCCGCTCAGGGACCGGGTCTTCTCTGTGCCCCTCCACATCACCTGCTGTCTGTTGGACCCGACGGAGGTAGACACTAATGACAGGCAGGGAGGAACAGAGAAGAGAAAAAACAAGCAATGGCAGCATAATAACCTTTGCCTCAAAATTCCTAAGAACACACAACACAATCCCAGGTGTGTGGATTTTCCAAGAGATCCCTTCTTACAACCAACTTGTTTTCAAGTTTGTGTTGCCCATATGAAGACCCCAGTGGCGAACTCTTCTCTGGGCAGGGAGGGAGCTAAGAATCCAGAATTCAAGGGCAAAGGCACGTGCCTGCCACGTCTGCCACAGCAGTCCCACTCCGCAGGATCCGAACTGGAGAACGGGCCCACTCCTCCCAGCCTCCAGGCAGAGAAGAGGCAACGGGGTCTGTCCCAGCAGGAATAGTGGTTTCTGAGAACGTGGCAGTTTACTGCCTAGATGAACGCGAGCCTCAAAATTTAGCCATGACAACTTGCATACTGTCACTAATCTCAAAATAGTACCAGCCAGATTTTAGAGTCTCGAGACAGTCACACTACTGAGTAGTAACTCAAGATGGGCAGAAAAGGCCTTCGAGACAGGCGAAAGGTGAGCTCAGGGTTCCAGAAACCTCTGCCTCTTCTCTCCTCCTTCCGTGGACACCTGGGCTTTCCCTTCCCCTCTGCCTCAATCCCACCCCCAAAATTAAACCTGTGAGTCCTATTAAACATGTGAATCCTAGCAAATCATGACAGTGGCTAACACTTACTTAGAGTCTACTTCAACCTGGTGCAGGTCTAAGTGCCTTACAGATAATTTCATTTAATCCTCACCATAGCCGTATGGTTATCCTACTTTATAGGTGGGGAAATGGAGGCATTGAGAGGTTATGTTATTTGCTCAAGGTTACCCAGCTAATAAGTGCTAAAGCTAGTATTTAAACCCAGACACCCTACTCTGCCTCGTAACCACTACGCTGCCTCTTTCCACTTGAAATAGCTCTAGTGATGGAGGTAGATCAGGACACACATAATCCAAAAGAGAGGAAAATACAAAATTCTTCTGCATGCTAAATGCATCATGTGATACTTCTGCAACAATTTTTCCTTCCTAATCATGATTTGCGGAAGGTAAATCATTTCAGTTTGGTCTACATGACCTCCGCGCGCGTCAGCCGGTGGGCGAAGGGCCAGAGGCAGTCGGGAGCGTGGGTCATTCCCAGCGTGCAAGCAGATGCCGGGTGCCGCTGCTCAGCCTGGGGTGGGAGAGCATGAGACCCTCCTGGGGATGGCCGGAGGGGAGCCCCATCTTCTCGAAAGGGGAAATGGACCAACTCCGTAAGGTTTAGGGACTGCCCTGAAAACGCCATCCCTCTTGGACGGCCAGGCCTGTGTGCTCTGAGGAGTTGGACATGAAGAGGTTTGGTTTACCACTTCAGGAAGAGCCAAGAAAACCCTCTCCCTGACCTGACGTCTTCCCTACCATTTGGAACCTGTCACCAGGGAAAGAAAGAGTGACAGGTATAAGAGAAAAAAAACCTATAATTTTTTTCATCCTCCTTCCTCCATTATACCCCCAAAACCCACGTCACCCATGGTTTCCAGCAAACAAGGAGGTAGGCGAAAACAGAGGTGGGGGTGGGGGAGAGAATGGAAGAGAGAAAAACAGAATAAGCTGTAATACCCCAGAGAGTCTGAGGAAAAAATAATTCTCCCAGGTCCTGCCTGCTTAGGGGTTTGGTCAGGTGTCTCCTTGGACAACCTATTGTCACACACGGGGCTGTCGGCCCTGTTTCCGGGAGTGAGTGTGGCATGGGTGGGAGGAATGTGCTGTTGAAAGAGAGGGGGGAGGAGGCTGACCTGAAAGCTGGATCTGAAACTGTCTTCATGGTCCAGTTGGAAGGATCAATGGGCTATGGGGTAAGGGGTGAGAAGGTGGGTGGAAGGGTCAGGGTTAAAAACTGCCTCTTAAAGGGATCCTGTCACCGACCCCCGACAGACATACTTCCCTGCCCCTGCATTCTGATGCAAATCTCCTCTGGGCTGGGTCCACAGGAGCCCTTGGCAACAAGGGCACTGGCTGGTTTCTGCAGCCAGTGGAGGCCCAGGCACTGGGCCCACCACATCGCTTGCCACAGACTGGAGAAGTCAATCAAAAGCCTCCAGGAGCACAGCCCCTTAAGGGCAAGAGTGAGGCCTGAGGCATTAATCTCCACAGAGCCCAGCCAACCCAATGGCAGGCAGCGATGAAGGGGTGGACGAGGGAGCCATGGTCAAGGAGGAGCTGACTGTGATGTGTTTCCTTCCGACTGCACATACACCCAGAAACCCAAGGGAAAGGGTGACAAGTGATGCCCAACCAGGAGGTTGACAGGGTCCCTTTAGGTCTCGACCCCACCCCTGGTGCTCACCAGCTGATTAACCTATGTGTTAACCCCACCTTTGCCTGCTCTCTGCCTCTCTTCCTTCCTTCTCCTTTTCTCCTCCCAGAAGTGTTGCAGACCAAGGCCAGCCTACCCATTTTGTTTCAGGTGTCTGGTGGATGAAAGACTCCTCCTTTCTTGGGCCCTGAGCCTTCCACCTTCCTACCTCTCCTCCTGCCCCCACACCCAAATCATGTTTTGTTACCATGTTTTCTAGGCTAGATGCTGAACACCCTGGACTCTGCCCTTGTTCCAGCTTCTCTCCTTTCTCTTCCTCAGCCCCTCTCCCCTTCCCTTCTGAAGTAGCTCTACCCACAAAGATGGTGTTCCTATCTTTGAGAAATATTTCCCCAGTGTTTTCAAAAATCTCATTTCAAAACACATGCACATTTATAGTTCATTTGGGGTCTCCACACTCTACCTTCCTCCCTTCAAAGTCGGCCCTTTCCTTTTGCCCTGAAAATGATATCTGAGAACCTGTGAGGGAATCAGTTGTTTCCTGCATGTAACATCTGATTTCAATGGGAGAGAGAGGTTTCTCTCTGCCTCAAAAACTCTAGAATATTCAGAAAATATCCTAGGAAGCCAACAAGAAAGCCATGTATTCGGGCTGACCCTCGCCTAACCCATGCCCTGGCCAACCTCTGCTTCCCATCTGGCTGTGCAAAGTCTCCGCTATGGCACTTCTGTTTTCTTTTGGCAGAAATGCCTGGGAACCAAGAGGCCCCTTTCCCTGTGACCTGACCTCCCACACTAAGAATAACAGCCCTAGGACAGCGTGTCTTGCGATCCCTCTGGAAAGAGGGCATGGCTGGGAAGTGGGGAAGTTAAGGGAGCTGGATAGAGCCAGGAGGAAATGGAAGACACAGACTCTTGGCTCTTGTGAGTAAAAAATAGAAAGGGAGAGTTGGCAGCCTTCTAGATAGCTGGGGAGAGAGATCTGGGAAAGTCTCAGAGAGACCCTAATGCTTTCGTCCCCACTTGCTGTTCTCGAGAATTCCATCTCCCAGAGCTCCAGCTAGTGGCTCAGAGAAAAGAAAAATTCTGGTCCTGCTGAGCAAATGTGCTCCAGTTCTATTCTGCCCTGTTTGCAGACATTTCTTAAAAAACTAAAGTAGCAAATGTCCTTTTTTAAAGAAGACAGATGTCTCTAGTACTGGATCCTTCCCGCCCCACCCTGGGACAGGAACAATGGGCAATGTGGCTGTCCAGTTCCCAGGGCTTCCTAAACTGCAAGCACACGTCCGTGTGGCCACAGCATTGCTCTCTAGACTCCCACACCTCTCAGAGAGGAAGACGGTCCACTCTTGGTACAGAGTCTACCCCCCAGGACTCCTGGAACCCTTTAGGAAATCTGGGACAGCCTATCCTTGGTTGACCAGTTATCCAAGTACCTTAAAAAAAAAAAAAAAAAAAAAGTCTTTCAAAAACATCTCTTTTTTTCTAAATATGGTGAAAAACAAAAATGTTTTGTACATACAGCATAAAGTGGTCACTTCAGGACCACTCTGTGCCAGAATCTCTCCTCCGTGGCACTCCTTTCCAAGAAGCCTATGTCCCGATCCACACCCTCTACCCAGGCTACCCTTATTAACCCAGTTCTCAGGAAAGGCTTTGATGACTTTGTTCACTTTGGTGGCACCTGCATTTCAGTGGGACCCTATATCAGAATGACAGTGTTGGGAAAGGAGCCTGGGGCAGGTGCTTCGGAGATACCCTGAGAGCATTGTCTAGGGCCACGTCCTCCACTGTGAGATTGACCTGGACTCCCTGTCCTTTCAGTAGGAAAGACTTTGCTAGGACAGAGCTGCCCCTGAAAATACTGGGCATGTCCAGTGCTGGAACAAGGTGACCCCCATTCTATCTGCATAGTGTCCAGCTTTTAATAGATATTGTTTTAATGGTGTGGCCCCCTTGTTATTGCTGAGCCCAGGTGACCTGGCCACCCTTCTGGACCACACTGATTACTTTTCTTTAGTTCCCAGATCACCCACTGGACCGCAGCCCATTCTCCTCTAAGGGGCCACTCAGCTGCGTTCCCTCCCTCCCTCTAGACAGGCCCTTGGATAAAGAGAAGTAGGGGCACAGGAGATGCCAAATGTGGCCTGAAAAGAGTCCACATTCCTGCACCACTGCAGCTTGTACTGCTGCCGCCCACGCCCACCCTTGCCCCGCTGGGAAGTATTTAGAAAGAGCCTCTGTGCGGAGGGCGGTAAAGTGGGATGGATCTGGAGGAAGGGGTGCCATGTGGCCACAGAGAGGCAGGGCAGGAGGACTGGACTAGTCGCCTCCTGGCCGCCACCGTCTTTCCTGGGCTCCTGGGCTCCTGGTCACGGAGAGGGTGTTGGAACTCCTGCAGCAACACCGAGGTGCCCGGACGGTGATTCTGATGGTGATTGTTGCTCTGTTCTTGTCTGTCTAATATTCCTTTTTAATCCCCATCCTGCCTGCCCCTCCCTTATGTAGGGTTACTTTAGTGATCCCTGGAATGTTTTTGACTTCCTCATCGTAATTGGCAGCATAATTGACGTCATTCTCAGTGAAACTAATGTGAGTATGACTCTGCCCTCCCCAGGAACCCTCCTCCTTCCTTCTTCTTCCACCTCCTCTGTTTCCCTCTCACTCGCGCTCTCTCTCTCTTTATCTCCTTTTATTTATTTTTTTTAATTTCCTATTTTTACCCCCCTCCAGTCACGCTTTTTATTGAACCTGCCGTCGTCCTGTGAGGGAAAAAAAGTGGGAGCTTCTCCTCCTTTTTTTCCACTTGTCCCAGCTCGGCCCGCTGTGCCGGGCCCCGGAGCTCGGAGCCGAGTGGAGGGAGCAGGCGGTGGGAGGCCGCTGGCTCCCCTCCCAAAGTGGCCACAGCCCAGCGTAACCTTTGAACTAACCCAGCTTTTGTCAGGCCTCTCCACCCTGCGAAAACCAGGTTACCCAGGTTTGAGCCACCAGGACTGTAGAGTGGTAAGAGAGTATTTAATATGCCCACGTAACCTCTTTCTTTTCTCATTTTTTTTCTCTTCTCTCCTTTCTTTCATGCTTTTTTTTTTCATTTTTCTTCTTCCTTTTTGTTTTGTTTTTCTCCTTTGTTGGTTTTTTTTTTTCTCTTCTCTCTCTCCTTTCCTCGGCTTCTCTGCCCCATGCAGCACTATTTCTGTGATGCATGGAATACGTTTGACGCCTTGATTGTTGTGGGTAGCATTGTTGATATAGCAATCACCGAGGTAAACGTAAGTACATGGCGTCTGGACCTGACTGTCCGTGCCTGCTCTAACACTCGTTGTCTTTCCCTGGTTTGTTGTTTTCGTCATTATATTTTCTCCTCCCCACCTCCTTATTTTCATTTAGTTTTTGTTTTTTTTTAATTTGTTTGTTTAAATTGGTTTAAAGGAGTTTTTCCTTGTTGCTTTATTTTGAAAACTTTTCTATCCTTTTTTTTTTTTTTAACTTTGGAACGAGTTAGGCCTCCTTTTCCTTTAAGTTTTGATTGCTGCATCTTTTTCTCTCTCCCTTTACAATCAGCCTGGCATGACTCACACTGTATAGGAGGATGCAGCTATGGGGATCACGGAGTGAGAAAACCAAGGGACATCACAACACCTGGGCAGCTGCTGGGGCGGGGACCCAAACCTCTTCTCACTGCACCTCACCTCCAGACCGCTGCCCCTGCCCCTCCTGCCTTCCCACCCCTAGCATCTTGGAAAGGAGTTCTCTCCAAGTGGGACCCTGGAGTGAAGGCTCCGTCTTTGCCTGCACCGTCAGCCCCAGGCCCTGCCCATGGCATTCCCACTGGAAGGCCTCCCTCCGAGTTAACATCAGCAGCCCATGCAGGCAGCCCAGCCCCTCCAGGCTCATTTGCGAGAGAAGAAGAGAACCCGTTGTGTTCAGAGTCCTGCTTTCACTCCTGTTCTCTGGAGTGGCCAGAGAGCTAGGTGGCTGGGTGGCCCACTGAGAGAGAGCTCTTCTGAGGTCTTTTCTCCCTCTTGCTGGGGCAGCAGCACCTCCCTCCCACGCAGAGAACTGACTCTTGCACCTCCTGGTTCTCTCCCGCTCCCACCCCCCTCCCGCCCTGCCCTGGCACCCTTGCTCCCTGGCTCCCTGGCCTCAGGCAGAACCCCAGCCCCTGCCCTCTGTTCCAAGGCCAGCCTTCCCCTAAGAGCTGCCTCCTCCTATACAGTTCCTATCAGTTCCTGCACATGTCTTTATGTTACCTGGCATGTTTAAACCTTCTCTCTTTATCTATAGGCAAGCCCTCTGCAGTTAGTCTTCAACATGTGCTAATTTTTTTGTCATAATTTTTCCTTGATTAAGAGACTTGGTAATGTTTGCACAAACCTTTGAAGCACTGAACCATGAATAACAGCATGGAGCAGACTCTGTACAGTTTTGATCAAAGATGTTTGAATCTACCCTACCAACTGCCACCATGTCCCCACTGATCCCACTGTCCCCTCTCCACTCCATATTTTGCTCCCAATTAGTTGAATTGACACGTTATTTTATCCGCCTAATTCCCCTGATTAAAAGCCCCTGTCTGCTCCCCTCCCAGCAGATGGGCATTGGAGGGGGCTGTCACGCTCCCCATACCCTCCCTCAGCCTCTCGCACCCTCGCAGCTCACCCTGTAGCTCCAGATTCGGTTGCCCCTGTCCCCCAGGTCCCCCGGGCTCATGGGCGTGTGTGTGTGTGTGTGTGTGTGTGTGTGTGTATGTGTGTATGTGTGTGTGTGTGTATGCGTGTACACTTGCCCTTGACCTCTTCTAGTAAATGGCAGATTATTTTTTTTTTTAAATCAGTCTTCCTATACCTGCTATGTGCCTCTCTCCCCTCACACCCCACCCCACCATTCCTGAGCCCCCTCCTGGTTTTGCAGGCTGGATGAGCCCTAAATTGCATCTCAGGTGCCATTCAGGTCCGTGAGCTGTATGTGTGTATGTGAAAGCCCAAGCGTCTGTGCTTGGAGCTGGCACCGTGCCAGGCTCTGAAGCGAGGGCACACGCGGGGAGAGGACCAGGGAAGAGGGAGCAGCAGTGGGCCCTGCCCTCTGAGGCTGTAGTTTTTCAGACAGCAGTGTAGGTCCTTATAAAACCTGTGCCAGGAACTCAGAGCCTGATAGACAGCAGGAAAATGCAGGAAGGCGACAGCAAGCTGTTCCCCTGCGTGCAGAGGGGACCCACTGCCATCCTGCGGTTCCCCTGGGGTTCCCCTGGGGTTCTCACTGTTGGCAAGGCCCACATCAACACTCAGCATGCCATTTCCCCCCCGACCTGTTAAGTGCTTTTAAAAGCGAAACAAAGACAAAGAAACTTTTTAGGGTGTACAGCTTCTACAGAAAAAGTGGCTATGTTGGGAGTAGAGAGGGAGGGTGCAGGACAGGGGAGGAGCGTGGCGCCATCACGCAGACCCACTTGTACCCGGTTTTCTATTGAGGATTCACCCTTGCATTCATATCATGTAGCTCTGAACAACTCTGTGAGTTTGACAGGCAAGAAATATCATCCCCAGTTTGCTGATGTTAACGATGCTGGTGGAGAGACTAAGGCCCTCCGCAGCCGCACCGTGGGAGCCCCGGCCTCCCGACGGGCCCACGCACTTCGCTTGGCCCTGGGCCACAGCTCCTCTCTCTCTAACCTACAGTGCCCTTCAATAAGCACAGACATCTCCCATGTCCCCCTTTCTGTACTTCCACCAGCCAGGATTTGTTCAGCCCTTACATTCTGTAATTTATATTTAAAAGTACCATAAGTTTTTATATATTCCAAACAAAAAAAAATGACTTATCAGCCCTCCCTTGGAGTTCTGATGCACCTGTAACACCCCCAGCCTCCTCTTCCCCACAGTGAGGTGCCCGTCACTCCTCTAGGTTGAGGGGCTGGTGGAAAGTCACGCAGATTAGATGGGAACAATGTGTATGATGGGCAGCGAGGGGAGGCGTCCGGAAACCCAGCCCTCATTTCCCTCCCCACAATGAATGGCCTGTGAGCCAGAGGAACAAATGTAGCATCCTCCAAGGCAGGAAGATGGCGTCGGAGAGGAAGAGAGGGCTGGACATGAAGTCAAGGCTGGCAAGTTGCTGAGTCTTGCTGCTTCTTCCTGTTAAATGAGACTTAGTTTCCTCATCTGTCAAAGGAATGTGATGATATTTACAGCACTGTGTTTGGAAGCTCAAATAAGAGCATCTATTTTAAAACTCTATGTAAACTTTTAAAGGGCTCTTGAATGGGAGAGACTGTGGTACCCAAGAAAATGACTTTTCCCCCACAATCCCTGCTAGAATAGCTGGGAGGGCCTAGTCTCTAGCCAATTATATTTCATTATAACTGACTACCCAGAGACACTGAGCCCTTGTTTCCCATATGATTAGACTCTTGGAGATGGTCAATAGGTATGACCAGCACAAAGCAAGCACAGGTTACTGACCACCGCCCATAACCCTGGCCTCAATAGGCCTGTTCCGCAAGCACAGTTCTGGTGTAACCCTGCACTTGGATAGCAGCCAACATTGGGGATGACAAATTAGCCTGAGAGGTAGGTCCATCTGCCTGTATGGTTCTGCCCGCAGGCCACTGGCAGTTTATGGGTCTGGACACTTCCTGGTGTGAGCAAGCTTACAGCTCCAGGAAGTTTTCCTTGGGTGCCACTCCAGGTCTTCCCAGAATCCTCTAGTCTTACTGTCCTCCCATGATATTGCTTCCCACACCTATGTTCTGTTTGGCAGGAATCTATCCTTTTAGCCTCAGAAGAATCCATGAAGGCCTTTCCCCTGTAACTCATCACCTTTGACTCTTTTAAGCCTGCAGAAATCAACTCTCATTGCCCTCACCTAATTGCCCTATTCATCCGAACTGCCCTCCCAATGTTCTTCACATTTAAACGCACCCCCCTTAAACACCTCTTCCCCCCTTGCCTTTACCAGGCTATGGCACTTCTGCCTCTGGGAAGTGGATACCCCACCCACCCCAGGAACCATCATTCATTCATTCCACCATGTGTATCGTCTCCCTTCCTGTGTGCCAGCTATGATTTTAGGCACCTGAAAGTCATCAGTTCACAGAACAAAAGCCCTTCCTCATGAGCTGGCTTTCTGGGGCCGGGGGAATAACAAGACAGTAAGTGATACAATGGGCACAGAAAAGGCAATCATACGCTGTGTGAAAAACCGCTAAGCACTTTGGAAAAGGAATAGTGTCAAGGAAGGGGGAATCAGAGGTGCTAAGGAGCAGCAAAGGAAGATGCTGTTTCAAATAAGACAGTAGTGAGGAATTCCCCTTGCAGACGCTGGGAGGGCAGCTTCTCGGGCAGGAGGAGCAGGCGAGGAGGAGCAGGGAGGGGATCAGAGAAGGGGACCAGGTTTTGGCTTTTATGCTGAGCAAGAAGGGGAGACACCAGTGCCTTTGAGAAGAGATGGCCCACAACCTGCCTTAATTTCCCAAGGACGGCTTCGCTGTGTGTAGGAGTCAGGGTGGAAACGAGAACAGCACGTAGAAAGTGGATGTGGTAACCAGGCGGTCGGGGATGGTAGCTGCAACAAAGCAGCATCAATAGAAATGGTGAAAATGGTCAGATTTTCAGTTTTGAAAACAGAACTAACAGTACCTCCTGACCGACTGGATATGGGAGCAGGAGGAAGAGGCCCCCAGGATGCCTATGAGGTTTGGGCCTACGCCTGGGAGGGTGGAGCTGGTGCGAACCCGGAAAGACAGGAGGTGGAGCAGGTTTGTGTGAGGAGCTCCGCTGGGCCGTGCCTATTTCACTTCCCAGGAGCGGTGGCAGGTAGGCAGTTGGCACACAGACTGAGGTTGGGGCATGGAGTTGTCAACCTATAGATGACATCCAAAGCCATGACAGTGGTGAAGAGCTCCACGTGGGAAAAGAAAGAGAGGAGAGAGCTGGAGACTGAGCAGGGCAGGGACCCCAGCAGGAAGCGGGGGGACCCTTTGTGCTCAGAGCCAGCCCGTGGTTCAGTTTCTGTTCCCCCTGGGAGACGCCTCTGAACCACTGTCAATGGAACTAGAGGGCGCTCCTAAGGCCCCACCATAGCTGAGCTGCATTCTGCTTCCACTGCCCTCCTCCTCCGTGAGGCATTACCTAGTTCTCCGTCAGGGCTTCCCCTCCTCTGTGTCCTCTGGGACAACAAAGTGCGGCCTCTGGTCACTCTAAGGAAGCCTTCTGGTCTTCCTTTATTTCTTGAGTTTGAAATTATATTTTTCAGAGAGAAAATCCAGAGACAT